GTAGAGTTTTCGGGTTGGGGTTTAGGGACATTTATGGGCAGAGTGCTGGGGCCAGTGGTAACGATAGCAATATGTTAGACAAGAGGCAAGTGTAACAACAACCAGCTCTTCACCAGTCTCCAGCATACGCAATAGTAGTGGTGGTCGTAGTCGTAGTAGTGGTAGTAGTCGTCGTCGTCGTGGTGGTGGTGGTAGTGGTAGTAGTAGTAGCAGTAGCAGTAGCAGCAGCAGCAGCAGCAGCAGCAGCAGCAGCAGCAGCAGCAGCAGTAGCAGTAGCGGCCTCAGCAGCAGCGGCCTCGAAAGCGGCAGCAATAGTAGTGGTGTGGCAGTAGTCGTAACGTTACTGGTAGTTGTTGTAGTGGTACAGTAGCGGTTGAATACTGGTAGAGTAACTACTGGTACTGGCGCAGTGGTAGTGAGCGGCAGTGGTAGTGGTAGTTGCAGTGCTAGGAGTTGCAGTATTGGTACCAGTGGCAGTAGTGGGGGCGGTGGCCGAGCCGCGGCAGGACAAGATGCAGTGGCACTGACTGACAGGACTACTACTTTCTTATCTGCTAGCATATGAAGTTACGCTATGATGCGCAAATCCGAAGCATGCAAACATGAAACAGAAAGCAGACCCCTAAACCCCAAACCCCAAACCCGATTTTGTTGAGGCCAGGGCCCTGAACCAGCAGCAAGCCCCACAGGTGCATCGCAGGCTACGGCGTCCGGAGACGTCCGGCGAGAAGGGGCGCAAGGGGCTTAACGTCCCATTCAGGCCGAAGATGGGGCCTACGTGAGTTGAAACCTACCCGAAAACATCTAAAAGCCATAAACCCTGAGCCTTGAACAATTCGTCGTTCAAAATCCAGGGATCTCTTGCTCGGCAGTCCATGGTATGTAGATCGATTTAGGTCTCAGGGTCTCAGGGCTTTGGCAGGGGCATGGCCTCAGGATTTTCGGGTTTAGAGTTTGAGAGGCTTGCCGTGGAGTTACTCCATCGCAAACCCCGCTGCAAAACCCAACGCAAACCTGCAAACCTGTCTGCTCGCCCTGCTAAGCCCATTCTGCAGGTGACTTCCACCTAGTTTCCCCTAAACACTAAGCCCTAGTTACTGAAGCCTACATCTATACTGAACTTAGACCCCTAGCAAAAATTATAATTTTAGCTGCTTCTTAGGGTTTATAGTAGCCAAAGATTAAAAATTATTTCTAAGTGCCCCTAAGACATAAGGCTGGTGAAACGGGAGAGCTTGAGCTGAACATGTTGAGGACGGGAGTCTCAGAAGGAGACAGCGAGGGAGGACAAACTTTCAGCGGGCTTCAGGATATAGGTTCAAGGGTTACCAAGGGTTTAGGGTTTAGGGGTTTAGGGTTTAGGGTTTAGGGTTTAGGGGTTTAGGGTTTAGGGTTGTGGTTCAAGGGCCACCATGGACCCTGAAAAAACCCTACCCTTTCAAGGACCTATGTGAGGAAATTGTCAGAACGAGCCCCCAAAAGGTAGGCTATTTGGGGTTAAGGTAAGGGTTAAGGTCTAAGGTTTAGGGTTTTGGGTTTAGGTTTAGGGTCTACCTTAACCTACCATGACCTGCTGGGTTTTTTTTTACGTTGTCACCGGACTCTGCAAAAGAAAGAGCTTCGAGTCATTTTGGGTTCAAGGTGGCGGACTTTCGATGTGGGGTGTTAGGGCAGTGACATTCGGCGCTTGGGCTCGGGGCATTGGGATTTGACCGTCGGGTGCGACATCATAGTTGTCACCTACCCTAGACCCTAAACCCTAAACCCTAAACCCTAAACCCTAAACCCTAAACCCTAAACCAAGACCCTAAACCCTAAACTCTAAGCGAAGCACATGCTCCATTCCCACCGGTCCCCTCTTACGCTGCTGTGGGGGCCCGGACTAGTTAAAAGAAGGGTCTGGGAAAATGTTGTAAAAGGGTTTAGGGTTTAGGGTTTAGGGGTTTAGGGGTTTAGGGGTTTAGGGGTTTAGGGGTTTAGGGTTTAGGGTTTAGGGTTTAGGGGGTAAAGTGTAACTACACAGGCACTACAAAGGAAACACATTACAAGCCTCACCCCTGAACCCTCTAGCCAGATAGCCCTACACCGCCTGCTAAACCCCTTCAAAAACACTAAACCACCTACCACCCAAAACCTAAAACGTTAAACCCCTTAGCCCTAAACCTCAAATCTGTCAACCCACATATTACCCTAAACCCTAGGAACTAACACACAATGCCCTTGAGCCCAAATTTCCGGGCTCCAGGTTCCATGGAGAGAAAAATGCAAGGCCAGACCCATAAGTCGTCAGTTCAATTACTTCGAGGCTTCGGGGGTCAGGGGTTTAGGGTTTAGGGGTGTTGGTTTAGGGGTATAGGATTAGTTTAGGGGTTTAGGGTTTGGAGTTTAGGGTTTCGAATTCCGGGTTTACGGTTCATGGGACTTAGTAATTACATGTAGTCGAACTTGTTAGGATTTCTGAATTATTGTGGCTTCTATATAGACTTCCTTCAAACGGTAGGTTTTATCAGGCCACAGGTAGGGTTATAAGTAAGGTAATTAATTCTTGCTTTGGCTACTTATAACACCCAAACACGGCCTTCACTTGTTAAGTTTCATGATTGATCCTCCAAGTAGGGTTCCTTCACCGGGTTTCTCGACGGGCGACTATCAGGTTGACTGTAGGAGTTTCTAGGGTGCGAAGTCTGTACTGTCGTTAGTCTCTTCGCGGGTTTCTGGTTTAGGGGTTCAGGATCAGCGACCACTAAGGGCATAACCGCTAGAGAACCGACATCTCGCGGAGCCGCGAACTCCGCTTCGTGTATGATGTCTCACGGAGCTCATGATGTCGGAGTATGGATACTTTGGGGTGTACGAAAGGACCCCCCAAACCGTGGAATGTCATGAGCTTTTAGAGGTTTTAGGCTAGAGATATTCTGCAATCCAGAATCTGGTTGCCGTCGGATATCAAACCACAAGCCCTTTGCAATCTGGGAGCCCTAACCCATAAAAGCCCTCGGACCATGAAAAACTAAACCTAGCGGCATGAGAATTTGATTCAACTCTAACTCTAAACTTAACCCTAAACCCTGAATCCTAAACTTAACCCTAATCCTAAACTTAACCCTAAACCCTAAATTCAACTCTAAAACCCTACGTAAACTTAACTCTAAACCCTAAACCCGACTCTAGAGCTCTCTGAGGGGCCTCCATCAGCGTCTGCTTGAGCTGCTGCAATCCTCAGCTTCGGGGCTTCTGAAAACACAAGCAGGTTGGGTTTGTTTTTGAGGGTTTGGGGTTTAGGGGTTTGGGGGTTTGGCTTCACGCTTTGGGTTTAGAGACGTAATTTGAGAGGTTTACACGACGTTTTGCAAGAGTTGATGGTTTCTAATTGTCTAGATAGAGGTTTGAGGCTTCTTGGCTTTCAAGGCTATCTAGAGGACCTTCCAGAAACTGGATCCTACTGATCGAAACCTTATTGAGAGGACCTTGAACAAAGCATCCCACGATTCATTCTGTGTATAACCATATATATGTATGTATATATATATAGAGAGAGAGAGATATAGAGCACATGCATCTACGCATGTGTGGATTTGTGTTTGCGCAACTATGAACATGCACAACGTGTACTTGTACATATATCGACACAAACTTATCCACATATACATAATTATACATATATATATATACACATGTGATATGTGTATGTACCTGTGTATCTGCATCTGTACATGTACCTGCCATCCTTCTCAGGCACGAGCAGGGCTTCCAGAGCTTCCGCGTGCTTCCGCGCACACAGTCCCGTGCAAATTTTATCGGCTCAAACGATTGTTATTTCCACGCCTACTCATAATGAAAGAAGCGCACGCAAAACAACAAAAACTCACTTGGGGTCTAGGGTTTAGGGTTTAACGTATCTTAGACTTTACGCTCGCACAAAAGAGCTGTTCAAAAGCTGGTGGATCAAAGGTCAACGGTTTCTGAAACGCTCTTCAAAGATTGCTCGAACGCTCCAGAAGCAAAAACAGTGCTGCGTGAAAGACACATGCAGGTTTACATGAAAGAGCTTTTGGCCCGGTTGATGGGTATTGTCATGGGTGACAGGTTTTAGCTTCCAGCTGCACGACATGGTCCAGGATTTGACAAGGACATGGATGGCTGGCTTGCAAACTGCAGTCCAAAAGCACAAGCCCAAAGAGACCTACAAGCATCTACAAACCCTAAACCCCTAAACTCGCAACCTAAACCCAGACCTAGGACCCCAAAACCTTCAGCTGTCGAAATAAAGCAACAGATCAGCAGAAACCAGCACGCATAGACCTCTCATAGTACCCTGGAAAATCACGGACTCACGTTTAAATGTGTGGGGGCGGACTTCCGGGCTGCTATTGGGCCTGAAGGTAATGGTGCTAAGACACGGTGGTGTCTTACACAATATGGGTAGGGTCCCCTTTTGTGTCCCCAATATAGTACGGCACCCTTATAAAGAGGACCCTAATAGACCCCGAATTTAGAGAACTACCCGGATGGCCCTACTTGGAGGGTCGGGGGACCTAGTAAGTAGGTATTAAGTAGAGTGGGGTTATAGTACTTAAAAGTCTATAAA